CCCCAAAACCCCAAAACCCCAAAACCCCAAAACCCCTATGTAGATATCTTCGATTGAAAATTTATTAAGAATTCCTAAACTATTAATGGTAAATTATTCGAGCCTACCTAGGCTTTGATCTTAAGAAGTACTTTTAGTGCTTGACACTCTGTTGTACTTAATGATATCTTCTTCAGATGCGATTATAGGAGATAAGTCTGGATGGATATTTCAACTGTTTACCGAACTTTGAGTATTTTCTCACCCATTTAAAGCTGCTCGAACTATGCCTATTCTTTTATTTTCAATGTCAAAGATAGCTAAGTTGTTCCTAAGGAAACTTGCTCCAAGAACTACCTTAGTCTCGTCACTAGCAAATGGCTCAATTGCAAGGCAAAAAGTGGTTGGATTTTTACGATAAAAGTAGTCATTTGGGTACCAATGAACCTTTTGAGATCCCATATTAAAACTGATAACCGGATATGAGTAAAAGAAATCTTCATAGGTCAATTCTTGTATTGGACTAAACTTGTAACAGCCTTGAGAATATTTCTCTCCCAATCATTTATAGTTACCTTGCCTTCATAGAGAGTTAATGACTTGGTCAATGTGATTAAACTGCTTTTTAGTTGTGTATACAAAGGTCATGCCAGAGTCAATCTTCGCTTTGATTAGATTTCCGGGCAGAAGTTGCCCACCAACAGAGTAACTATCAAATTTGACAATGTAATTCTCTTCTGCTATATTTTTCATCCAAATTATGTTCTGAACAGGTTCTAGAAGTACTGAACTATCATAGCCTCCTAGATACATAACACCTCCATCCTTGGTAAGGAGGAGACTGAATTGAAGCTTTTTAATAAACCCAGTTTCATAATAGGTATAATACACAGGTTTGAACTCATTCCGAATAACAGGAGCCAACCCCATGATTCCATTTGCTTCTTGAGTTAAGAATAAATTCGTTTCCTTAGTTACACATCCAAATGTGTATCTGGGAGCTTTAGAAATTAATGTGTTATCGCTGAATTGAAAGTAGTCTGTTACATAGAACCCCTCATATAGACTACCTTCATCATAGAAGGAGGTAAAGAGGCATTCATTGCTTTCTCCTCACTCACAATTATGCCCATTACAATGTTCAACACTTGCTTTAGAAGACTCAGAGAGACTAAATTGTGGAAAAATATGATTTCCTCATTTTGTACATTTCTCCTTACAAGGGAGACAAGTTGCTGTAGAGCCTGTATCAACAATGAGAGCTTGTTTTGATGGATTAGCAGGATCACCAACATAAACATTTACATAATAATATAGCGTTTCAGAAATGTTCCCATAAATAGGGGCTGCATAGACATTCTCTTGTACTATAAGTAAGGTATTAGAGTCTTTTCAGAATTCTTTCAGATCTTACTAAGTTTATAGCCCCTCTTAGCTGCAATAAAAGGCGTAAACAGGAGTAATAATGCTGAAAGGAGGATTCATATTCGCCAAAACATATTTATTTGAATAAATTTCAATACAAGTGTTTGTTTTAGGGGTTTTGGGGTTTTGGGGTTTTGGGGTTTTGGGGTTTTGGGG